TCGTTCCATCCACGGCCACCCCGTTCGAGCACACGGATCCGACCTGTTGATCCCGAGAACTGCTTCCATTGTTGCCCATCTTGACGCGAACCCACCTGCGCGATCACTACGGATGATACCTCGACCGATCCTCCATCTTCTGTAAAAAAAAAAAAAAAGAGAAGAAGGAAAGAAAAAAAAAACGATTTTNCACGATCTAGTAGATAAAAGTAGTTTCGTTTCGAGACGGGAATTCGAGGGGATCAGTTGCGAAAGGCGCTAAGGAAACGCTCGTTGCCCGCGGAAGCGAATCGAGCAAAGCGAAGAGCAACAACCATGCTCGATACCAACGATAACGGTTTTGCCTAACGGGTTCGAATCGGTTCGAGTTCGAATAAATCGACCGGCCAACGAACGATAGATTACGCGTGCATTCAAGTTCGTATATCGCGGTCGAATTTATGCAGTAACGAGAAATGCGGATAAATCGTCCCGAACTCGTTGCGCAATATCGAAGAGAAAGCTTCGCCGTCGATCGTCACGCTTCTTTGACCTTCGTTCGTTCATTGGTAGTCATCAGCGATCCATATTCGAGATGATAAAAATGTTTTCCAACTATCGTGAGATCGTATGATAATATTAATCTATCTCTAATTTGTGGAAAGTAGAGAGATAGGTAGAGAGAGAGAGAGAGAGAGAGGAGAGAGGAGAGAGAGAGATGAAATCGGATCGAGGTCGCGGTCCACGCGCGAAAAAGAAAGTCTTCCCTTAGGAGAACGCGGACAAGTTCGATCTGGTATATCCGGTGAGAGCGGACAAGCCGCGATAACTGTCAGCCCGTACGCGTCTGCGTTCTCTCTTCGCTTTCGAAGCCGCGAACGTGTTTCATGACCGAAATTCGATCATTACGCGCGAGGAATTCGCAAAGAGAAAGAAAGAACGAATCGATTCGCCCATCTTTTCGGATAACATTCTCTTCCCCATATTTCTAACTAATACGTAAGCTTACGAAGATGAAGGAAAGAAAGAAAACTCGAATACGATAAAATTCGTTCGTTTGCTCAAAAGATAGATTCCTGATAGGCCGATTAACCGTGGGTCGTTAGCTCTGCTCACGAAACGAGGGATAGTTGCGCGATCTTAAGATCGAGAGCAAATGCCCGAAACGTTATCCAAGAACGAAGGCGAGTTCCACGGAAAGAGAGCGAACAAAACGCATAACCGGTTATCGTTTGAGTTGGCCGGACGTTGGTAAGTCTTGTCGTTTTACGCTCCTAGTTCGAACTCACGTTTCCGCATAAACGTTTTCGTATCGAAATTCAAAAGAATTTCTCTATGAAAACCCGATTATTTCGATCGTGCATTATTTTGAAAAGATCATGATTTATAGGGAGAAAACGGAAAAAATCGGAAGAGAAAAGGGTAATGTTAAGTGAGAACGGTAGGATATCGAGAATAAATACGGATGTGTTTTATTCGCGAGGCATCTAGGTCAGTCTCAGTCGCGCAAGTGCAGTGTGCCGCACCTATTCCATTCGCACCTGTGCGCATGCGTGTTGGCTGGTAAGAGCGCAAAAACTTCGTCGATCGTCGGATTCGACGGAGCGAACGAACCAGCCGAAGAAAGAACGGGCGAAAGAACGCTAGCGAAAGAGAAAAAAAACTACATCGTTCGGAATTATTTTCTCAGCATCGTTTCCCAGGAATTTTGGTATGCGGAAGGAAAGCTACGTAGCAAGGTTCGCAGACCGATTGAGCGAAAGGTGGAGAAAAGAGAAGGGACGGAACGGCGTGTGTGCGTATACTTTATCTATATGGTAGAGGCAACCGAGCGATGTGGTACATACTTACTTATACCGGTAAAGAGAGAGCTAGTTGCATGCCAGAGTACGAAAGGAGGGAATAGGAAGGGAGGTAGAGGGACAGAGAAAGAGAGAAAGAATGAAAGATAGCTCGGAAGTTTTTGGACGCAGAGCGGAGGTAAATACAATCGTCGATCCGTAATCCATGTAAGTACATATACGATCGATCGATTCGATCGTTTGTTCAATGTTCCGTGCGTGAATCTCTTCGATTAACCGCTACTTTTTGCGATAACTATTTTTCCGAAAATATCCAAACGCTTTCATTATCGTCGTTCTCCGTGTCTGATTACCTTCTTTTTGCGATACTTGGACTGTCCATTACCAAGAAACTGACACCGAAAATTCAGGTCGATCACGCAGCCATACGTACAATTCTTTCGCGAGATGAAACATTCGTTGCGAAATTTCCTGCGCGTATTGCACGGACCTCCGATTCTTTGCAAGTTCGTAGACTCGAAAAAAAACATTGAGTAATCGTATTTCTCTTGAAAGAAAAATTATTGTTGATCTTAACCAAAGTAGACAAAATTTATTCTATTTTTATCAACTTATAATCAAAATTATTACTTATTCCAATATTCGACGAAGAATTATATTATGCGGAGCGCGATAATTCAACGCAGACAGTGACGTCCTCGACGCTGAAGGGCAAATGGCAAGAGCCAGCGAGAAGTGAAAGCTGTATTTGCGCAAAAGAGGAACGATGCGTCCAACACCAAAACGATCTTGCTTCGCGTTCGAATGCTATTCTTTTAAATCTATCATTCTCTGTATAAGAAATGTTTTTAAAAAAAAAAAGAAATCTATGAACGAGACATTGATTGGGATAAAAATGGTGGGAAAACAGCGCGTCCACTCGAATCGAATAAAAACAGAAAAGTAAATCCGTAACCGTCCATGTTGGAAGAACGATTTCTAAGAAAAGAAAGCGCGCAAAACCTGATAATTTTTTGGTTGTGAAAAGTCAACCGTGTTCTAAAGGAAACGGCAACGATAAAACGACTATTCATTTACGATCCGCAATTCCCAGATGAGATACTCTTTCGTCAATTGGAAATTATGAAGCAAAAACTTTTCTTTAATTTTATTAAATTACTAATAAAAATATGTACGCGTTGCCACAGATTCAGAGTTACAATAGTTACAATAGATGTTATGACTGGACGAACAAATTCGAGAACGTAGTAGTAGCATAGTGTAGTATGTGCACATAAATCGAATCTTATACAAATTTTCTATGCTTTGATCACATATGCTTTCAAAACGTTTTTCCTTCATAAAACATGTGAATAAAATCGGTCGTCATCCTCGGATAGTTATATCTCGTTCTATGGAATCCAGTAACGTGAACCGGTAAGAAAACCGAACAGCGGAACGTTACACCGAGGTGAATCGATTTTCCCGTGAAACTTGAATCGCACCTAAACTTTTATCTATCTTTATCGATCGCTTGCTTTACGGTGAATTTACTTGCATCGCGGAATTTCGAATCCTGCCGTTCGCGATCTTGAACGATATTAAACTTGATACCATCAACAAAATAAGAACAAAAAGAGAAAAGATGGCGTTGCAGGAATGATTCAAGAGTACCCGTATAAACAAAGCTGGTAGTGGCGGTAGGAGCGCATCAACCGAGAGGCATCTAACGGGGCAACGTCACGGCGCGTTAACCTTCTTCCGATTTCGCCAATTCTTTTGATACTTCTTTTGTATTTGTTCTGCAACGAGAACCGATTCGAGAATCGTTCGAGAAAATCAATAAACAACGAAAGGAACGCGAATTTCCCGCGAGGCCGTTTTCGCTGTTCATTCGAGCGATACTAATATCTCTACCGCTTTCGTTTCGTCGCAATCAACAAAATTACGCGCATTGTGTTTCGGGAACGGGAACGGGAACAGGAACACGCTTTTTTCCACGTAGTATTGTTTCTTGTTTCAGAATCTACACATTTACCGTTGAGATGAAACTTCTATTGCGTTCGTTAGCGTCCATTTCGATTATATATTTTTTATAAATTACAAACATCTTTTCTCTTGTAATTTCTATCTTCTATCTAAACATAAATTCATAGAAAATTCATTCTTTTAATTAGACAACACTTCAAAGATTTGCCTTTTACGATTATTATATATTATGATTTTTGTTATTGCTTGAACTTCAAATATTGATAATTTTTGATATATATATATATATACTATCGAAATTGAAAATTTATCGATTACGATTATCGATTATAATAAATAAATATGTATGTTATTAGATATATCGATTTTTTTACTTATTATACTTACATCTATGTACGTACTTACTTGTTTTAATTAACACGATGATATAGAGTTATGGACAGCAGACAACATAAAAATCAAATTATGCGATGTTTGATTAATCGATATTTATTATTCTAGAGATTTGTTTTTTGTTTCACGCGTGTTATAACACACGCGCATCTTTCTAACGTTAATTTTAAATATCTTAACTACGCGATACTGTAATTGTACTTTTGATATCTGCACCTGTGTCACAATAGCGAACGTTATGTTATATTCCGGACGAAAATCGGGTAGAGAAGTGAATGAGAAAGTAGGTATCGACGAAAAAAAGAATGAGAAGCGGAATAAGAATGAGAGGATAGGAGAGATGGAAGAGGAAAGTGTGACGACAGAAGGGGGGAAAAAAGAAAGGGAAAAAGAAGGAAAAAGAGGAAGAAGAAAATAAAGTGTGAAACCGTAGAACTGCACACCGCGTCCAGATGATTAGACGACTCGAAAGAGAGTGCGATCCGCGCGGTCCTTATCCTCGAACGCGACGCGAAATCGGAACTGAGCGACGGTGGCGGCGGCAACGGCGGCTCTCGAATCCCC